TAGCAAACATCAGGAGTCAACCTTTCTCTCGGCCTCAGTGTCTCACCTGTAAAAGGGGGGTGGCTGCCTGGGAGACCACTAAGTGCCTTGCGCTGAGACCGCGGCAGCAGCACTTGGAATGCGGTCTTCCCCACTGGGAGGGAAGGAACTGAATCGCTTTCCTCTCGGACCCGGAGTCCCAGCACAATCCTTGCATACTCAGCAAGGTCCCGGAGCTTGATGACCTTGGCCGTGCCTGCAGAACCTCTGACCTAGCTTGCTCAAGTCGGTGGTCCCCCACCCCCGTTCACTGCCACCGCTGCAGTTCTACTTGGAACCGATTTCCCTGAAGCCGATGACTTTAGGGAGCAAATTTCACGTTCTTCACAGACATTACAAGCCTGGCTCATCCGTTTCGCATTTGGCTTCAAAATTTGTTGTCCAGATTTCTAGGAAATCAGTAATGAGTGATTCTAATAATTGTTTGTTCTTGGAACTCCCCTAAAAATAACTTGGTCAAATGAGGGTGGGGATGGGGTGGGGCCGTCCTCTGAAACTTTTCTCCTTCGTTCCATCCAAGGTCTTGAGTTCCAGTTACTCATAAAAGGAGTTTTGGTGTGCATCATTCCAAATTCTAATGAATTTCCAGGAAATGTCACCAAAATGATGTTGGCATCATTAAGATGTGTTTTTTTTTTTGTCCCAAAACTCTTGCCAGCTGCTCCCTTTTCCTGCGGACTACAACTGCATCAAAGATGTCAGTTTCTGGGATATATGTAGCGGTGTCTCAATAGCATAACTGATGATATCAGAGTCTCAGAACCGCCAAGCTCAAGGTATCAGAGTCAGTATGTCCACAGTAAAACTCAGAGGTCTTTCCTCCCAAAGTCAACACTTTTCATAGTTTACCTCTGTCTACCCATGACATTCTTATGGTTTCTGAGCAAGTCAATATTCTGGGCCTTATTTCTTTGTCATCCCTCTCCAGCTTAGTCAAGAGTCTGGTGTCAACCAAGTTCCTGAAGGACCACAGCTATGGTCAAGGTGCACAGAGCAAGGTCCCAGCCTAAAATGTGGCAGCATCTGAAAAGCTGCCATCTTGTCCCCATGTATTTAAGGTCCTTCCTTGCCACCCACGTCACCTCCGTGCCCATCGTGATGGTCCAGCCAGCCTGTGCCAGTCCTAACCTCAATAAACTTCCGTTGCTGGAAAGAGGCAACCAGATCTGACCAGCCCCGAGGCTGCGGCTTCACGCCGGGCTGGCAAGTGGGCGGTTAGCACCTTCCCCTGGCAGAGGAGCTAAGCCGCAGAAATGAGCTTGGGTTACATTCCAGCGTCCAGCCAACTTGGCAGCCCCATGGGTCAAGGCTGGTGTGCGGCCAGCCATGAAACCAGCACAACTAAAAGGCATAAAAAAAAACAGTATTTTGCTGCAGAGATACACACTCATGGGCAGGCTTTGTCGGTGGTGCCCCGCCCACAATCCATGATTTCTGCTACCATGCTCTTCCTAACACCCCTTCTCCAGCCAAGAGTCCCCACTCCACATCTCTCCTTATGCACCTGGAACCCAACTCCCCACTGATGATGCTAATGAGGAGGGTGGCAAGTCATGGGTAAAGAGCGGAGTCTCCTCTGCATCTCTCGTCCAAGTCAAATCTCAGCCACATGTACTCCTGCCCAGCAAGTCCACAGCTTTGAGGTTTCCTCACCAGTTCTGCATGTCAGTTTCATTAGAGACTGGAGCTAGTATCTCAGCTCTAGAACATCAAGGAGACCCCTCATCACAAACATCTGAGTTTCATCGAAGGCTGTGCCTGGGGTCTCGACCCTGGAACATCAAGGAGACCCCTCATCATGAACATCTGAGATTTTTCAGAGGCTGGAGTTGAGGTATTGGCTCTGGAACATTAAAAGAAGCCTTCATCATAGACATCTAATCTTCACTGGAGGCTAGAGTTGGGTTCTCAGCTCTGGAGCATCAAGCAAACACTTCATCATGGACATCTAGGCTTCAAAGGCTGGAGCTGAGATCTGTCCTTGAACATCAAGAGGGTCACTCATCATGAATGTCTGAGCTTCATCAGAGGCTGGAGCTGGGGTCTCAGTTCTGGAGCATCAAGTGGACCCTTCATCATGGACATCTGAGCTCCACTGGAGGCTGGAGCTGGGGTCTCAGTTCAGGAACATCAAGAGGACCAGTCATCATGGACATCTGAGCTTCATCGAAGGCTGGAGCTGGGGCCTCAGTTCAGGAACATCAAGAGGACCAGTCATCATGGACATCTGAGCTTCATCGAAGGCTGGAGCTGGGGTCTCAGTTCAGGAACATCAAGAGAACCAGTCATCATGGACATCTGAGCTTCATCGAAGGCTGGAGCTGGGGCCTCGGTTGTGGAACATCAAGAGGACCACTCATCATGAACATCTGAGCTTCATTGCAGTCCGGAGCTGGGGTGTCAGCGCAGGAACATCAAGAGGGCTGCTCATCATGGACAGTTGAGCTTCATCGAAGGCTGGAGCTTGGACATCAGTTCTGAAACATCAAGAGGGCCACTCAACATGGACATCTGAGCTTCACTAAAGGCAGGAGCTGGGGTCTCAGCATCATGAGGGCCACTCATCGTGGACATCTGAGCTTCATCAAAGGCTGGAGCTGGGTTCTCAGTTCTGGACCATCAAGAGGGCCATTCAACATGGATATATGAGCTTCACTAAAGGCTGGAGCTGGAGTCTCAGTTCAGGAACATCAAGAGGGCCACTCATTGTGGACATCTGAGCATCATCAAAGGCTGGAGCTGGGGTCTCAGTTCAGGAACATCAAGAGGGCCACTCAACATGGACATCTGAGCTTCACTGAAGGCTGGAGCTGGGGTCTCAGATGTGGAGCATCATGAGGGCCACTCATGGTGGACATCTGAGCTTCATCAAAGGCTAAAGCTGGGTTCTCAGTTCTGGAACATCAAGAGGGCCACTCATTGTGGACATCTGAGCTTCAGTAAAGGCTGGAGCTGGGGTCTCAGATGTGGAGCATCATGGGGGCCACTCACTGTGGACGTCTGACCTTCATTAGAGACTGGAGCTGGGGTCTCAATTCTGGAACATCAAGAGGGCCACTCAACATGGACATCTGATCTTCACTGAAGGCTGGAGCTGGAGTCTCAGAGGTAGAACATCATGAGGGCCAGTCACTGTAGACATCTGACCCTCCCTGGAGGCTGGAGCTGGGGGCTAAGTTCTGGAACATCAAGAGGCCACTCAACATGGACATCTGATCTTCACTGAAGGCTGGAGCTGGAGTCTCAGAGGTAGAACATCATGAGGGCCAGTCACTGTAGACATCTGACCCTCCCTGGAGGCTGGAGCTGGGGGCTAAGTTCTGGAACATCAAGAGGCCACTCAACATGGACATCTGAACTTCAATGGAGGCCGGAGTTAGGGTTCAGTTCTGGAACATCAAGAGGCCACTCTTCATGGACATCTGAACTTCAGTGGAGGCTGGAGCTAGGGTTCAGTTCTGGAACATCAAGAGGCCACTCTTCATGGACATCTGAACTTCAATGGAGGCTGGAGCTAGGGTTCAGTTCTGGAACATCAAGAGGCCACTCTTCATGGACATCTGAACTTCAATGGAGGCCGGAGCTAGGGTTCAGTTCTGGAACATCAAAAGGGCCTCTCATCATGGACATGTGAGCTTCAACAGAGGCTGGAGCTGGGTTCGCAGTTCTAGAACATCAAGAGGGCCACTCATTGTGGACATGAGCTTCATCAGAGGCTGGAGCTAGAGTTTTAATTCTGAGACATCTAGGGGTCCCTCATTCTGGATGATTCAGCTTCGTCAGAGGTTGTTGCTCTACCCATCTCACACAGGACTCTCCTGGACTGTCAGCCCTCTTTTGGAAGGACAGACTCATCTGAGTGGGGCATGGTCTGGAGGTCGTATCCTCTGGGTCTCATGGTTGCCTGTAGAGTCACTCAGCACCATCCATGTCTCCATTTCCATCAGGGACTAGGGTCAGTGTTCTTAGCTGATCCAGATGGTTCTTTCTCTTCAAAATGGAGCCACACTCAGCCCATGCACTCATGGATGGACTTGCTTATATTTCTCTTAAAACACCTCACTGTGAGAAGTTGGGGAGAAAGGAGGGAGAAGGAGCAGAAAGAGGAAAAAAGAGGAGGAGGAAGAGGCAGAGGAGAAGGAGGAAGAAGGAGGAAGAGGTGGCCGTGGTGGTGGCTTTGGCTTTGGCTTTGATGGTGACAATGGTGGTGGTGGCAGTAAGCCTCTCCCTTCCCATGGGTTACGTGTCCAGCTCATCTGCTCCAGCAATGCCAGATGGGCCGGCCTGAGGACTCTGTGTGGACTTGGTTCCAAAGCTCTCTGCCCTTGTTCCCTCTGCCCTCATCCAGCCCAGCCACATGCTGCTGGCCAACAGCCTGATAGTCCTGAGCTGGGCTTGGTGCCCCTGCGACAGGGCAGGGGTGGATCTGAGGCTTGGCCTCTGCCGTCTCCTCAGGGCCCTGCTCAGTAACCATCTTGTGGAATGAGTGTTGGCACGGGGTCATAGTCAGGCTGGACCTGCTTGGCCATCTACTTGCCATTAGTTCAATAATGGCAAATGCTTGGCCAGACCCCCGCTGTGACCTTGGGAATATGCAAGAAGGGTGAAGGAGCGTTGCAGCCCTGGGGGTAGCCCCTCTAGGGCTGTCGAAACCAGGACAGTGACCTCCTCCAACACTTCTACATTCCTCTGCAAAGAAACCTGGCATCCTATGACCATTAGAAGGGGGACCAGCAGGTTAGTTCAGGAGCCCCACCAGGCCAGCTCTGCTTCAGGACATCCTATCACCCTGCGCGCGGGATGGGTAGAGGACAGGCGGGCACTGGAGCTGGCTGCCCTGCTCCCCCCTACCCATCACACTGCCCAAAGTGAGAGGAAGCCCGGTGAGACCGGAAGTTCGACATTTGCCCTCCTTACATTAGTAGCACACCCATCGCTGCGTTTAAGACAAAAACCGCATTTATTGAGAGCACAGTAGGGTGTGGCACTTTCAAGCCGCCTCACAGGCTCCTCACAACAACCCTGTGAGGTAGGTGCAGAGCCGATTTCACAGACGCGACGTCGAAGCACCGCCGTCCCCTAAGTCCCAGGGCTGGTGAGGGGTGGGCGGGGGTCAAGCGGCGTGCCTGACCCTCAGATCAGTGAAGTCCATCAGCCAAGGGGTGGGCGGTTACTGCAGGGGGAGCTGAGGAGGGCACACCCCCTCCTCGCAGGGGGCAGCCCAGGTCCAGAGTCTTTGGGTCCAGCCTGTCTCGTGGGAATGTGCAGGGCGTCCCCGTGGCTGTGGAGGCTGAGAGAGACACAGGTGCAGATGAAGGCCACCTGCTTGCGGTCGCACTGCTAACAAGACTTCTCATGCAGACAGGCAGGCCGGGAGCGAGGACAGGAGGAGCCCGAGAGCTCGGCCGTCGCGGGAAAGGCCCCACCGCCAGCAGTCATGCGGGGCAAAGGGAGCACCCCGCCACCAGCTCCTGCCTGTCTACCGAGTACCCTCTAACCTCTGGAGTCCTGCACATCACGGGCTCCTCTACCCACAGGCTTGCAGAAGCACGACCCTGGTCATGGCACCCTCTCGTGGTGCTCACCCCATAACAGAATCTAGAACGCTTGGCCTTTCTCGAGACTCCCCAGGGCTCCTGTCGGACCCATTCGCAATGAAACGTGCCTATTTCTAAAATACCTGCCTCATCCTCCTCTGGGGGTTTCTAGAAATTCTCCCTGAGCCTCTCATTTTGGCCTCCGCCCCTCTTCCCCAAACCTGTTAAATCTCTGTATTTAAAACAAATGTTCCCTCCCTCACGGTCTCCCCAGAGCTGCCCTTCAGGGACCTTGAGGTCCCCCGGGAAGCTGACGGACCCAGCCTCTACCCTCACAACAAAGCTGGGAGGCAAGCTTCCTGGTGACCCACAGCTGAGGGAAAAGGAGGCCGAGGGTCCGAGAGGAGGAGACTTGTCCAACCACCACAGTTAGCTCCGTGGCCCTGGGGTCTGCAGGATTCTAATTTCTGTAACACTGGCTTATCCAACGGACAAAGTTCCATCACATGGCACCCAAAACAAGACTCCTGGTTTTGGATCAACATACCTCACACAAAAGTCCTCAAGATGCGGCCGTTAACAGGTCAACCAGGAGCAAAAGCTGATCTCTGAGCAACGCTGTAAACACCCGCCGCTCGCATGTGGTGGGAATGCCGTTATCTGACCTGCGCCCACCCGTCCATCCATTCCGCAAGAGCAGAGCACCACCCGACCCTGGCCTGGCACTGCCGGCCTGTGAGCCCCCATGTGGCCATTGAGGAGTGGGACGCTGGGGAAGGGGGACATGCAATGTCTTTGGTAGCTGCTGCCTGATGTTTTGGGGGGAGGGCTCTGCTAGAAGAAGCAGATGCAAGTACAGCCCGCAGGCCAGACACAGGGTAGACAAGACACAGCTGAGCACTGCCAACCTTTCACTGAGGACGTGAACGTGCACCCGGGGGTCCAGGGCATTGCTCAAAGAGGCCCCGCCCCCGTATGAAAGTTCCGACCTAAACTCCTATCAAATCTCAGCACACCACACAAACGGAGCGCTCTGCCCCACCAACCTGCCTGGACCACACTTCCTCCTGGTGTCCTTTCGTCCTGCCCCTCCCCACCCCCAGGGGCATGCGGACCGCCCGTTACAAAGCCTGCTTACAGGAACCCTCCAAACAGGCCTGCGAGGTGGGTGCTAGGTTCTCCCCCAGGCGAGAGACCCCAGCTGCCAGTTAAGTTTCATCCCCACGCGTTTGTCCAGCTCCAAGGTACCAGCTTTGCCCAGTCTACCTAGTCTCCGAAGCAACGAGTAAAAGACCGAATTCCAGTGGCGCCCTCAAGACCCCCACCTTGCCCCACGCTGGCAGCAGTGGGCTAAAGAGGGGTCCGCCAGGCCTGGGACCCGCATGGATGCCGGGGGCTGCCTCCGGGGTTCGCAAAGTGCCGTGTGCCTGGGACACCCTGGTTCGCTGATGAGTCGCTCCATGCAGACCCCTCACAGGGCAGGATCCTTGTCATCCACACGAGCAATCATCTCCCCCAATTTTCTCTAAGTAGAGCTGAGCATTAACTAATCTCGAATGGGGCGGGGATGGCTCTCAGACCCCCTCCGCGGCGCCAGACCAAGGTGCGCTAATGACTTGAAAGCCCGTTGGCGGAAGCAGCAGCCGCGCACCTCAGACCCTGCTGCCACTCAGGCCTCTTGAGGATATGGGCTGTGATTTCTGAGCACGCAGGGAACACAGTTTACTGATTACCAATCAACCTAGTTTTGTAAGGAACCAAGTTGGAGGAGATAATCAAACTTTCAACAGAACTCTGACTTGAGAGTGGCAGCTGAATCGAGGGCCTCGCCTGGTGACGGGCACACAAACAGGGCCCCTTGCAAACAGGTTCAGCTCCCCTTTCTCAAGGAGGCATCAGAACGCGACCTTGGGAGCGCGCCCGAGCACAGCACTAGCTGGGTTTTTTTTAAAATATGTTAATTGTGAGTGAAGGAATAAAGCGAGGAAGGGATGGGTCACAACCATGGTCGTCTGGGGGACAGAGCTGGGGGTGGAAGGCAAAGGTCATGGCAGGGACCATGCACCACCAGGCAGGGCGGCCTAGGAAGGATGTCTCTGTTGACGGGCGGGGGTCTGGCAAGGACCCCAACCCTGGATTCGTCACTGTGTGTGATGAATGGAAAGCACTGTGGGCGATGGTGGTAGATGACATTCATCTGGGACATGCTCATGGCAGTGACTCTGGAGGAAGAAGCTACAAACACAGACGTTCGCTGTTTGACCACAGCCCGTGGCACTACACACCTGCCCAAAGGAAAAAGTTTGCTTTCTGGAAAGGGAGAAGCCAAGCACCAGGTCAAGGAACATCGGACAAGGGCACGGACAGACGGACAGAAGGATCAAGCTGGAAATCATCACCGACCTCCCTCGCCTTAATGCTGGGATCAACTAATGGGTGAAAAATTCCGATGCAGGAACATGGCACTCTGTGCTATAGCAGAAATGCCAGTGGGAAAAAGAGGCCCTCTGCTGAGAAAGCGGGGGCAAGGTCTCCTTGGGTACTGTGCTGTCCCCAAAGGCCATGATGACCTTTGAGCCCTGGCTAACTTTGAGCTGGGGCATGAGAGGAAGCTCAAGAAGAGCTTGGAGTCCCGTCTGTTCCTTGAATAGTGGAATCAATTGGCCCAGTTGAGACAAATGGAAGAGGATTCTCCAACAGCCCTGGTCCAACAAGTCCCATTAATCAGTGAAAACCCCAAAGACCACCATAAGGTCCTCATGTTTACTCACACGTCACAGGACCTGACTTGGTGGCTGGGAGGTGGGAGAAGGTGATCTACAGAGCTAGCTTCCTCCAGGTGAAACGGGGGTGTGGGAGAGGGGCAGGCGACAGTGCTGGTGGGCATGGTTGGGCATGGCTGTCTGAACCTTAGAGGGTCAAAGAGATATTCCTATCCCACAAGAGTTGCAGAGGGTGAGTTTACACATCACAAATACATGGTCCAGCCCAGAGGACTCAACCTTAAATGTCAGACTGTCAAATGGAAGATGTCATTTCTACCACACGAGCCCAACACACCTGAAAGGCCATCTGGGCCAAAACCATTCCCATTATTTGAATCTCCTTAAAACTAACCACATTCAGTGTCTAGTGGTCTGCCCCTTGAATGCCTCCAGTAATAGAGGGCTCACTCCCTTCCAAGGAAGTCCATTTTATCCTTGGGAAGCCATGACCCAGTGGATTTGGGCAAACAGTTTATAGAAGATAAAATATAATCTGTTAACAAACATATGTGAACATGTTCAACCTTCATTAGTGACCAAAGCAATGCAAGTTAACATGACAAATACTTTTTAACAGAGATAATCTGGCAATATCTTAACAAATGCTAATACATTGCTGGACATTATAAAATGCTGAAAACCTTCTGAAATTAGTATTTATACAAGAATCCCTGGCCTTTCATTCAAGAAGCTCAACCCTAGGAAATGCATTTCTTCATTCACACATCCATTAATCCATTCTTCCATTCTTTCATCCATTAGCCAATCATTCCTTCACTCACTGCACCTTCGTCCATCCTTACATCATCTCATCCTTCAGTCAACGACTCACACAACTTATTCATATACTCATCCATCTATATATCCTCATTCATTAGCCAATCACTGACCACTCACTACATCTTCATCCTTCTCTGTCCTCTTATCCACCAATGATTCATACACTCAACTAAACCTTCATCCATCCTTCCATTCTCTCACCATCAACCATCAACCAATCATTTATTCACTCACTACACATTCATCTATTCTTCCATCCTCTCATCTATAAACCACAGACTGACCACTCACTACATCCTTTCTCCCCTGCAAATTGGATTATCCTCTCATCCATCAGGAACCACTGACCCACTCGATAGATTTTCTTCCATCCCTGCATCCCCCAATTCATCAGCCAACCAATCACCCACTCACCCTATCTTCATCCATCCTTCCAACCCCTCATCCATGAGCAAACCACTCCCTATGCATTTATCCTCCTTTATTCCTCTTGACAGCCAACTCAAATCTACACTCACATCTTCATTCATCCCTCCATCCTCTCATCCATTAGCCAGTCATTATTTCACTCACTACCTCGTCATTCATCACTCTATCATCTCATCCATCAGCCAACAACTCACCCACTTACTATATCTTCATCTATCCTTCCTCTTCTCACCCATGAGCCAACCACTCACTCACTCATTACATCGTCATCCCCCTTCTATCCTCTCATCCATCAGCCAACCATCACCCAGTCACTATTTCATCCAATCTTCCATCCTCATATTATAGAGCCAACCACTCAACCACACACTGCCTCTTCGTCCATCCTTCCATCTTCTCATCCATCAGCCAAACACTGACTGACACTCACATCTTCATTCATCCCTCCAATGTCTCGTGCATAAGGCAACCATTCACACACTCATTCACAACTTCATCCATCCTATCATCCTTCCATCCTCTTATCAATTAGCCAAGCATTGACCACTCACTATATCTTCATCCATCCCTCCATCCTCTCATCCATCTGCCAGCCATTCACCCACACACTACATCTACATCCATTCATCCATCCTCTCATCCATCTCCCAACCACTCAATCATCATTCAGATCTTCTTTACATTTGCATACTACCTTCCTTTCATCCATCAGCAAATAATTCATTCAATCACAACACCTTCTACATCCTTTCATCCTTCATCCTCTCATCCTTTAACCA